TGCTCGAGGCTTGGAGAGGTTTCTCAGTGGGGAGGTAAGTCCGAGATCCTTGTAAGGTGGCCCATTTTTTCTTATGGTACGGGGGTTGTGGCGGGAGCGGAATAGTCGATCCTTTGATGTTAATTAACATGTATTAGGTTTCACTTTATTAACAATGAGCTTCGGGCTCAACAAATTAAAATGTTTCAATGTCAACCAGGAGTATAAGGCCGTAGGATAGTTCATCTACACACTAATTAATGTAAACCACAAATGTAGGACCATACGCTCCCTTATTTCAAACAACATACGCAATGAGTATAGGATCATATGCTCCCTTACTGTGAGCATAGGACTATACACTCCCTTACTCCAAACAAAGTGTGAATCACATAGTGGTGGATAACTAAAAACACATGTGGTTGGGTTCCACATCAATAGGACATACTCAATCCAATGGCCATATCAATAATAACATTCTCTTTCTTAGATATGTTAAGTAGTTAATCCTCTTGATTAACATTTAACAAGTTTCACTTTATTAACAATAAGCTCCAGGCTCAACAAATCAAAGACTCGATCTCAACCAGAAGTGTAAGGTTGTAGCACAACTCACCTCCACACAAATTGTGAATCACATAGTGGCAAATAACTGAAAACATGCGTGGTTGGGTTCCATATCAATGGGGCATGCTCAATCCAATGGCCATATCAATAATAACATTCTCTTTCTTAGATATGTTAAGTAGCTAATCCTCTTGATTAACATTTAGCAAGTTTCACTTTATTAACAATAAGCTCCAAGCTCAACAAATCAAAGTGACTCAATCTCAACCAGAAGTGTAGGTTGTAGCACAACTCACCTTCACACTAATCAATGTAAGCCACAAGTATAGGATCAAAAACTCCTATACTACGAACAACGTAAGCGACGAGTATAGGATGATTTACTCCCATACTCCAACCATAGGACCATCCACTCTTATGCGCCAAACAAAGTGAATCGCATAGTCCCATATTACTGAAGACACTCCACATGTGGCTTGGTTTATACTACTCACCCAGATGGTCCTGGACCACATTCGCATCAATGGGACATGCCTAGACAGATGACCATATGAACAATAGCAATAACATATGATCGTGCACTCCCAAATAAGCAAGTTTTTGACAATTACTAATTTAATCATCATACGGTTTGTCCCGAACTACTCTAACCAATCAACAATATCCTTCAATTGTTAAATAATATCAACGTTACTAACTACACTTTATTAACAATTAAATGAATCTCAACCAATTGTTATAAGTTTCCAAGTTTGGTCACATCGTCTTTTCATCTTAATTTCTCTAATGCCATGTTTGGTGTGCAGGAATGGAATGGAATTCTCATTCCAACCATTCATTTGTTTGGTATGCAATTTAAAGTGGGAATGACCATTCCTAGGAATGAAAATCCATTCCATAACTAAACCTATAGAATGGTCATTCCATTTCGAAGTAAATTTTTTTTTTAACAAAATCAAGTTCCCAAAAAACCTCGTGTTCCAAGTCAAAAACCACCACAACCACGACTACCACCACCACTGCCTTCCACCACTACAACCACCACCGCCTTTCATTGTAGCCACCTTCATTGCCTTCCACCACCATCATTGCCACCACCACCATTGTTGCTGCCTTCAACCACCACCGTCGCCACCACCACCACCAACTTCCACCACTACCACCTTCAACCATTGCCACCTCCATTACCTTCCACCACCGTTACCATTATCGCCACCGCTGTCACCGCCACCACATTCCACCAATGCCACCTTCCACCACCACCACTTACACCATTGCCACTTTCCACCACCCTCATTGCCATAGCCACCATTGTCGCCGCCTCCACTACCTTCTACCGCTACCACTACCACCACCGTCTCTGCCACCGTCGCCGCCTTCCACCACCAGCACCTTCACTGCCACCGCCACTGCCTTTCACTATCATCACCTACACCACTGATTCCGCCACGGTTGCTGCCGCTCCCACCGCCTTCCACCACCACCACTTTTGCCTTCCGCCACCACCGTCGCCTTTCACCACTACCTACACCACTACCACTTTCCACCTCCACCACCATCGTCACCGCCTTCCACTAATCGCCATTTCTTTTTAAAATATTATCGAAGAATGTTATTTTGTTAATTTCATTTATTTTTTCACTAAGAGGGATAATTTGGAGACTTCAATTTGAAATTCATTTCATTCTAAATTTTAGATTGGTCCAACCAAAAACTATAAAATGAGAATGACCAATCCGGTCCATTCCATTCCCATTCTCATTCCATTCCATTCTTGCATACCTAACACAATATAAGTGTGTTATAAATTTAATTATCCATAATGGTGGATTCTTGTTTTACTATTTTTCTTCTTGTATCATATTGTTAGTTTGTGAAATACTATAGGTTTCCGTTTCCAATTTTATTATTTAGCATTCTATGATACTTTATATCTCTTATACCTGGTTCTCCTATCATCAAAATTTCCTTTTGCCTAATCAACTCTCTCATTTAATTTCATACTGAAATAATATTGTGTTTCAAATTTGTATCTTCCTTGTTTGTTTGGGCTGCCTGTGTGTCGGATAGCATTGTCTTCGTTTTTGTCGTGTCTCCGGCAGTTTTTATCGACTTGTTTGGGTTACCGGTGTGTTCGGTAGTATTGTCCTCGCCTTTGTTGTTTCTCCGATAGTTTTTTTGTTGACTTGTTTGGGTTGTCGGTGTGTTCCGTAGCACTTTCTTTGTCTTCTCTCACACTTTTTGTTACTCGTCATCTCAATGGCAAGTTATTCATGCTTCAATTAATGGAGGAGAATCTTTCAGTAATTGATGTTGTTTCCTACTATTGAAGATTTGGTGTTACCGGGGGAATCAGTGGAGAAAAATCCTCCTTATTTCCTATTTTCTAATTTTTTCCATTCTCATAATTTTTTCTCCTATATAAAGGAGCCTCCGCCATTGTATTGTATATGAATTGTGAGAGCATTATAAAAGTGATGTAGCCCTTTGGGCTCTTTGTGTCGTGGATATAGACCCTAGTGGTTGAACCACATAATATATTTGTGTTCTACTTGTTTTGTTTATCTCTTTGCTTCCGTTTTATGCGTTACCACAGTTATTTATTTCATTCGATTTTATTTTATTTACTTTTATCTTTATATTTGCATTCTCATTTTATTTATATTCAAGTCATGCCCGACTTGTAAACTTGGGTAAAAGACAAAAGCAAGAATGGCCTCACATACCAAGGGGCTATTAGCCCAATGGTTTAATCTCCCTACCCTCAAAGAGGAGGGGAGGGATTCGAGTCCCGGCATGGGCAATGTGTGTTGAGTACCTACCTGATCAAAAAAAGAAAAAAAGAAAAAATAAAAAAGAAAAAGAAAAAGAAGAAGAAGAATGGCCTCACATGGACCATACCACATAATGTCCTATGCTTGGTTATGCACTTGACAAATAGGGTCATTCCTGTCCTCGTCACACCTTCTGTTCATGTTGCAATTTATCTTCTTCTTTTTCTCCCTTTTAACTAAATAACTCATACAAAATTATTGTCTAAATATTCTAGGCAGAAATCAGAGAGTACAGTATCTAGAAATATCTAATTCATAATACTATTTAATCTAGGTCCTAAAATTTCATGGCATAATGATACACATATAATTTGTACTCTCAGCTTATGCTGAATTTGATGTGTTGTAAGAATCTGTATTTTATTGTAATATTCTGGATTATAAGATATTTTTCTTAATATCAGTTAACTAATATTCATTAAAATTATTAATTAATGTTGGATGGACCCAAGGCCAGACCCAGTCAACTCAGAAGAGTGAGTGGGACCATTCAGCCAAGGCAAGGCTCCAACAGCAGGCACACACCCTGCGTGCCATCAGGCGTGCGTTGGCTTGCGCGGCTGGCTGGGTAAGTCATCCACTTCCCCTTTTCGCGGTCAGTCAACTGAGACCCTAATCTTCCGGCATTAACTGCTTAAATTAAAGATCTACTCCTCAAATTGAGCCCTAATATTTGAAGATTCCATTGATATATTAACTGCTAAAAAGCCTCTATGTACTTGCAATTGCGGTTTCGTTTATATACGTATACATAAAGACATGCAGGACATAATTTTAATCACAGATATATGTATTCTTATATGTGTATATAATATACTTATCAACAATAGATGTTTAATTCTTGGAAAAACAGGCTATGGATTACCAACTCCATCCAAAAAGAAAAAATTTCAACCAAGACTACATAATAACTACCTCAATTCATAGATTTTATGCTCAGCAGTGTATGTAATCCTCAAAGTGAATATATGCATACAACCATATTCAATGTACTTCAATCATCATCTACTGTATAGATTGATTACAATAATTTTAAATTAAGCATTAAATGTTTAATTTGGCAATTTAGAATCATTTATGAAAAATAAGACAATATCAACTTGCCTGGTGTATTCTACTATTATCCTTTGGTGTTTTGCAATATAGTTGATCGTCTGATCTCCCTTTCCTTCAACTGTGAGTCTCTCAAAAAAATAAACTTAATAGAAACTTACTATTATACTAGAATTTATGTTAAAGTCCTCTAAATAGACTTTAATTTCATTAGGCTTCTTCCACAATTAAATTAAAATTTTAAGGCTCAATATTCTCTCTATTTCATTATTATTATTATTATTATTTATTTCATTTTCTTTTACGATTGTTAATTTGTTACATGAATCCTCAACCTTCCATTTGAAAAGTAGAGGATATATCACTTGAGCTAAGCTTTTGGTAATTATATATAGGGCAACTCTGTGTGCCAAGAACATACCAGATAAAGACAGAAGCCTATTCTGCCAAGTTCAAACATTGAACTAGAATTGAACTCTTAATGTAGTCAGTTTAAAGTTTTTGAGTCATTTGTTGGCAAAATTGTTTTCAAAATCAATTATCAAGTGTTTTTTTTGTTTTTTTAAGGTTGAGTCATGTTTAAGGAGAACATCAAGGATCAACTACAAGAAGATTTGGATGATGCACACTTCAGTTCAATCACACGCATCAAAGGTAAAGTGAGAGTGTCAGGATAAGTGTAGGATACTTGCAAATAAGGTTCATATTTTTTTATTTATGAAATGACAAAAAAAAAAAAAAAACAAAGAAAGTTCACTTTTTCATTTTCTTTTTAACTAGTGTTAGACTATATTTTAAATTGATTTGGTGGGTTTTTATACAAGGAGTGAGCTACGCACCAGTACACTTATCTTTTGCACTGATATCCCCTTTAAGATTTTTCAGAATTTCAATTCCAGAGATTTTTGCATTGGTATACTAACAAGTCCGAATTTATGTTGAAACATCACGAAACTTCTCCAAATTGTTTCTGAATTCTTTTCAAAGTTTGAAAAGATTTCCCAATTCAATTTAAACGTGCTAATGAAATTAAATAATAATAATAATAATTATTATAATAATGAAATCAGATAACCTTTGATCTCATGTTGAACTGTTTAGCCCTGTTACACATAAACTTGAGATTTGGTTTTGGATGTACTCTATGATAATAATTTTTTCACAATACATAGCATGCCATTATTTTGATCAATGTTATCGTATTTTTATAACAATAAGAATTACCAAGTAATATGTCTTTGCTAGCTTACTTTTTCGGGTGGAGATGTCTTAACTTATTCATATTAATGTCTCCCCTTTTATTGCTTCCGAAACCAATCCGTCCCTATCATCTTCTATTCGGTGATTTCAACTATGAGACCAGAAAAACCAAGGTTGGTACACAAGCATTGCAGACATAAAAGGTTTGTTGCTGTCTACCATCACTGTCGATGTATAAACATGCTTCATGTTCTGAATATTGTAAATATAGGTTGCTAATAAAATTTCTTATTTGCATAAAATGTTGTTGAAAGTTTTCGGCTCCATTAATTAATAATTAGATGATTCTGGTTTATGATGTATTTTAGATACAAGTAATCCAATCGAAATAATGTTACGTCTTTATCTGGAAATTGGCTATTTAGTACATGTATTTGCAATATATAGGTTATTGTTCACTTTTTCATGCATATGTTAAAAGCAAGGTAAATGCAATGAAATGAAGAACAATAATCTGAGTATGCTCGTTCCATTTATATATATATATATATATTTCAAATAATATGAAAGGCCTTGTAGACGGAAATGAGAGATTGATGATAAAGATTACCTTGACATCAGAAAATGCGTTTTCCGATTGGTGATGCGCCTCTTTTGACTTGTATTGTTCAATTATCGACTCCATGCTGATAAAAATAGCATCAAACTGTGTTAGATTTGTTCCTGCAATGTGATGAATCTTATTTTTGTAATGCATCAGTGTAGCAAGAACAGATGTGGAAATAAAACTAGCTTTTTAAATCTATTTTTATTCAACATTTCCATAAACAATAAACTCAATTCATGTCTTATACAGCAGAAAAATGTATCTAGGTCCGACAGATTTTCCTTGCTGAGTTATTACTTATAATATTTGTTCTCGGACTTATTTTCGTAATGATGAAGGCTAGTTGGTTGCTGGGTTGAGAAGCTCATACGGTTGAACCAAGATTTTTAATAACATTTTTCAGGTTTAGTTCATATTAATAAGCTGAATGTTCATAGAGGAAGATATTGTAGAGAAAAAGAGGGCAAGTTAAATGAATGAGTTCTTCTGGCATATGGTGTTATCAACAAATATTATAAAATTTTATAAAATGTTTATGACAACCACCATAATCTGTGAGAGTATGTTTGGGGTTGGTCGTGAATTGAACATGGTCAAAATGCTGAAATGACATATATGCGGAGCAAGACAAGAAATTCTAACAAAAAAAGAAAAGGGTGGTGAAACAGTTGTTTGAGCACTACTGAATATAAAACTATCACACCGTTGTGTAAAGACTATTTGCTTTGCATATTTTCTGTATTTACGATTTCAAAATGTATGTACATAATTAACAATGGAGGGTAATACTATAGGAAGAAATACCAAAGTTTTTTTAAATATATATATATATATTTTATAACAAATTTTTTTTTTTTTTTTTTTCTATAAAGTATTTTTTTTATATGTAAAATGAGTCATATATGAAACTTTGATTGAACATACATATAGAGAGGGTAATTGAATAAATGCTAATTGAGGAGGCTTATGGAAAGAACAAGAAAAATCTCGGGTTTTAGAAAAGAAAGGATTCTCAAAAAGACATATTGACACACTAAGTCAATACCTTTTTGGACATGACACATTCATAATAAGATTCAATGGTGTATGTTATTTGCAAATGATATTATTGAGATCGATGAGACTTAGAGAAAGGGTGGAGGTTTAAAAAAAAAATTCTAGAATTAAAATGATTTAAGATAAGTAGAAAATGATTCACAAAAAGATATCGAGAACCAATATGGAGCACAAAAAATATATATATATACACAATAAAGGACATGGTTGTGTGATTATAGCTACAATGATGGTAAGAGAAACAAGGAATTCTCAAATATCACTAAGTCAATACCTTTCTACCATGGTTATGAATGAACTGACATGACACATTCATGATTCAGTGATAAATGTTATTTGGTGATAATATTGCGTTGGTCGATGAGACTAGAGAAAGGGTCGATGCCAAATTGAAATTTTGGAAGATTCTAAATGATTTAAGATAAGTAGAAATGAAATTGAATATATTCTAAATGATTTAAGACAAGTAGAAATGCAATTGAATATATGATTGTAGCTTTAGTACGTATAGAAATACAAATGAGAAGAGCTCAAGAATCATGAGATACAAAAAAGTGAATATTTATGTTATTTAGGCTCAATTTTTCATAATAAAGGAGAAATTAGAGATGATGTGAATCTAGTATATTACGTAATCGTCGTATCCCCTTAAAATTGAAAGGGAAGTTCTATAGGACAGCTATTAGACCCGTTGAACTCTGTGGGACGATATGTTGGGCAGATAAAAAACAACATATGTATAGAGTGAGTGGCGAAATGCGAATGTTGAGATGTATATGTAGTAAGACTAAAAAGGATAGAGTAAGAAATGATCATATTCGTAAAACAGTTAAAATAACACAGATTTGAGATAAAATGAGAGAGAATTATTTAATATGGTTTGAACATGTATAAAAAAAATCTTTAAGTGGGCTAGTTAGGACTTACGAAGTATGATAGTTCACATTGATGGTAATTATAGGAGAAGAGGAAGACTAAAGTTAATGTAGGTAGAGTTAGTAAAGAATGATAGAGTAGCATGTAGCTTGACTGAAGCCATGACCTTAGGGTGAGCTGAATGAAAAAATAGGATTCATTTAGTGGACCGCAAATGGTTGAAAAGACCCTTTGTTTGTTATTGTTAACGATTTCATGTAAACTTTTTTATTTATCAACATTTTTCCAAAAAAACACTTTTTTGGTGTTTGGCTTAAATCTTGATAGTATTTTCTATTAAAACAAAAAACAAAATCTTTTTTAAAAATTCAATTATTTTTAAAGAATAATCTCTATAGAGCATAAATCTAAAAAAAAAAATTATTCTCTTTTTATTTTTTTTAGCAAATCAACACAATATATTACATATATAATATATATTATATATTATATTATCATTCATAATCATTGGTCTGTTGTGGTCCAAATTCATCCTATAACCAGAACCCTTTGGGAGAAGTAGATGTTGGGTGAGCCAAGCATATTACGTCATTGGTATGTCCACCCAATAAAAATGCATCATACAATGAAATTGGTTCCAACTACTTATAAAAATTGCTATAAACAAATTGGTATAATGCATTTTTAATGGGTGATCATACCAATGATATAGTATGTGTGGAGAAATTATTAGATGGTCCAGATCCATAAACACTTAGTGGACCAAAAATGACTCCACAAGAGTGTATTAATATATTACAAAGAAATTTCAACAACGGTCGGGATTTAATTCGCCTGTCATATATCAAATGGACTTGGACTATCTAATAATTTCTTGTATGTACAACTCACCCAAGAAAGAATCTCCTTGTCACATGGCACACTTTCATTCGTCCACATAGGGGCAGGACTTGGGTGGGACTAACTTGAGCAACCCAATTCTTGCTCGAAAATTTTACGGGAGTGGGTAAGGTGCTTGAAACCGTGAGATGGGATTAGGTTTAAACTTTAGAACTTGAATTTATTTTGGACAGGATTTGGGCAAAAGTTTTTGTAACTGGAGGAACTTGAAAAACCCAAAGAACCCGAAACATAATAATAGTTTATGACTTTTATATTTATAATTAGATTATTTATAGTATCATCAATCGTGAATTACACATATTTTGATTGATTTTTGTTACACTTTTGGATGGTTTAGGCAAGTAAAGATAACACTTTATTTTCTTTCCATGTTTATTTAATAGTAGGTTATTATAATCTTGGACGACCCAAAAATCGATGAAATTCATGTCGTATAACGCAGGTTGAGCCGGCGATTGATTTCTTGGGACTTGGGCTTAGCTCAGGCTAAGGTGTTAAAACCTTGGATTTGACGTGGACTAACCCTTTGGCCCGCCCAAATCTTGATAGATAATGTCTTGTAGGCACAGACTTGGCACTACTATCACTGTATGTCTGTTGCCTCCTTGAATTATTTTCTTTCTTATTTTATAGATGTGTAGTGACATTTTATGTGATAAAAGAATTACACATAGACTAAAAGGAAAATTCTATAGGATCGTTAGCACAACTACTATTTATGGAGCAAAGTTGATGGGCTTTGAAAAAGAAACAAGAATAGCCTCTTTATTTAGCAGAATATTAAGATGGATAGTTGGAAAGTGACTAGAAGATGTAGGATCACAAATGAAAGAATAAGAGAAAAATTAGTTGTAGTACACTCATAAACAATAAAATAAATGAGAGTAGACTTGGATAGTTGGGCACATACATGAAGACCTAAATGTACCGGTGAGAAAATGGAATTTCCGTTGAAGGTAAGAGACTGAGAGGGGGCCAAAAATAATATTGGATTAAGTTGGAGACAGTGAGACACCTAGAGTTGACAAAGATGGGTGGAAGCCTACAATCTCAATAAAAAATGATTTTAAAAAATTAAACATGGTAGATGATACGGCGGATTGGCGGGTAATAAAAAGGAATTAAGATAGGGAATTCATATGGCCGAGGCCGACCCTATTCATATGTGAATGGCAAAGATGATGATGATTTTATAGGTGGGTGTGAAATATTTTACAAAATGCACCCCCAATTTTCAAAATTATTAATTTTGTCCCCCTTTTTAACTTCTCCAAAAATCAAACTCTTTTCTCGTCTCTCTTTCATGATGCCTTTCTTCATTCATTCTTGTCATTTGGGTATTGCTTGAATATATATAGCTCTTGACATGATTTTTTGTTTATCTCAATTTTTTTATTATTGTAAAATGATATAGGTTTTGATATTCCAGTCACGTTTATCCTTTGATTTTGATTTTGATTTTTGTAGTTAAGAGTTCTGTTATTTAGATTTGTTATTACATAATTTAATTGTTTTGGTTCAACAATTTCTATATGACTAGTCTTTGTTTTCAGTAATGCTAATTATCGGTCAAAATAATAATCTTATTTTGTGAGAAGCAAATGATAGTAGTATATTTTCATCTGGTTGTGTGGGTTTTCAATAGAAAATGGATCCCATCGAATCCAATTAGAATATTCAAGTCTTATATAGTGTAAAACTTTTTACAATTATATATATATTTACTATGATTAAAAATGATTATGGTAGTAATCTTATGCGAAGAGAGGAAATGATAAATTATACCAAGTGGGTTTAGGTGAGGGGTAATTTAGATCCAAATGTATAGGTGTTTGTCAAATACAAAATTACTCTTGTAAAATTGACATAATTTGTGATATATTTTGTTAAAGTGACATTATTCATCCATTCTTTTTGGACCTAGTCGCATTTGTAAGACCATAAAAATAAGTTATCATTTATTATATTATACCAAGAATTTGTTCCATAATGCAATCAAACTCATTTCACCAACTCATTTCACTATTAATGTTATACTAGGACTTACATGTGGATGCAATTCCACCTTGTCAGAGGGTGGACCTATAACTTTAGGTAAAAGGGGCAAGTCTGAAATTTTGTAATAATTTTAAGAGGGGCATTAGCAATATTTTAAGAGTATATATTGAAAAAAAAGAAAAAATAGCATGGTATATTAATAAAAAATTAAAAATTCAGGCCTCACTTGCTACTAGGTCCGTCCCTACACCTTGTTATGCTGATTGGAATAATTTTTGTTTGGATAATGCTTCAATCCTACCCCCCATCAGAGCAGATTGTGTCATACTCATTAACGTGTTTTAATAAGAGGTTGACACCTCTTTTAAACTTAAAAAAATACAAAACATGGGTTATACTAATTTTTAGGTTGTATCTCACCCACATGATCATCCACATCTTTCTTTTCCCTTAGCTCTAGTTGCTAAAATTCCAAATCTTAATATTTCATACAAGACCTCCACTTTTTAGAATAATAAAAATTCTTTTAATTCTGAAATAGTTTCACGGAGTTTTTATAATCATATATATATATATAAAAAATAGTTTTAAAATTATTCAACTTTGAATGTATCTTTTTTTAATTATGTTTCTAGAGAACAACTCATACAAAATTGTCTTTCCTACCTTTTTCTGATACTTTTAATTTTCTTAAGATAGAAACTATCCTTAAAAAAATTAAAATATCCATTTCTATTTCTCCTTTTTCAAAATCTACCTCAATTAAAAATCTGATGGGATAGGACTGAAGTATTATCCTATTTGTTTTATTGTTGTTCAAAGCTACCCTATAATTGAGAGACAATAATGTACTTGGAAGGTAAGATTTCGTTTGGTTAGATAGAATTAAAGGGAAAAGAAAAGGAATATAAAATTTTAAAACTTTTTTTTGGGTTTGGTTAGATAGAAAGGAAAAGTTCTGAAAAATTATGATTCTTGTAATCTTATATTTTTTTTCAAAATGTTTCTTACACAAAACACTCTGAAAATGTTTTATTTTCACATGAAAACATCGTATTTTAAATAAATTTTTTAGACTGGGTTTCAAAGAATTACAGTCTAACAATAACTTTATAGATAAGGTTTTAATCAACTTGAGTTCCATTTTAAATTATTTTTCATCATATATGAATGAAATAAATAGGAATTTTTAAGGTTTGAAAACCACATCATTTATATATATATATATATATATATATATATACACACATTACTATTAATTAATTCTTTATTACTTGACTATTTTTATAAAATAAGGGCAATTTAGGTATCTAGCTAATCTATAATATAATATTTTTTTCACAATTTTCTTGAAAAACTCTTCATACTAATCAAATACATACTACTAGAAATCAATTTTCTTTTCATTCACTCTCTCTACTTCTCATTTTTCATTTTTTATTTCTTTTCTTTTCTTGCTATTTAGAAGTATAGATTTTACAGTGCATTGGAAACAGACAAAAACAAGGCCGACCCAAGGGTAAAGCCCAACTACTAAGCCAGCCATTAAGGCCCAAAAAAGACCGGTATCCAACCCATTTGAATCAACTAGCCGTTGGCAACGACCAAAAGGAGAGCAAAACAGACCAATCAAACTGTGGAAGATAGGCACAACCACCATGAAATGCTCTTCAGTCATCGACCATTGAATAGAAAAGACGGTGGCGGGAAGGTCTCAATCACGAGCGATGGGATTATCGCGAAGACGGTGTGAGCTGAGCCTGCACTTGGTTGATGCTAAGATGTTTAGAACTTAGTTTACAGAAGAGTGTCGAGGTCTGAAGGATACGCTTAGAAGGATAAGAAAATCACTGTAAAATGGATTAATGAGCTCGTCCTCCTTCCAATCCTTCAATTTTCATCCATTTTTTAAAACAAATAGTACAAAATAAGATTTTCATCCAAATATTTTCTCTTATTTTATCAATTCAAATAAAGCTCTCTTAAGCATCCTCCTTTCTTTATATTTTTCTATCCGCCCAAAATTGAGAGAAGAGGAGAGAGAAAGAAGTATCAATTAACAAAAATATGTATTTTTCATTTCTAACCTTTCTATAAACTTAGAATAAACATAGAATTTTTATAATTTTAAATAATGAGGGTATATTGGTAAAAAGAATATAAAAATCCTCTTTTCCTTCCTTCCAACCAAACAAAAATTAATGTATCACCTCATCCATCCTTTCTACTATCCATTCCATCTAACCAAACAAAATTTGAGGGAGACATCTTTTCTTCCCTAAGGATGCCTCGTCTATCGCTTTTCCTCTCCCTTCCATCAATTTTACCATCCCTCCAACCAAACAGAGCATTAGCGTTTGTGCGTGGAGGAGGGGAAAATATGGTTTTGAGTCAATTGTGACGAAGGATTTAAATATCAAAGTAACACATTCTCTAATCGTTTAAACTTTTGGAGTAGATGGTTGTTAATAGATTGCACATGCATAACATTCGTCGACAAGGACAGAGCCAACACGGCCGATACAGACCCAATAATTTTTTTTTCATATTTATATAAACATATGTATATAATGTTACATTATGCCCCCCTAAAAATTACCTTATTCTAAAAATCTCTCTAATTCTTTCTTTTCTTTCTTACTCTACTTCTTCTTCAAAAAGAATTTATATTTAGTTTTTATTTTCTTCAAATAAATTTGCATTCCCTTTCTTTAATCAAGCCCCAATTTTTCCCATCTCAAGCAGTACTAAATAAGAAATTCTATATATCGGTGTCTGTATGCCACCTTAAACTGATATCATGTCTGATTGGTGCTCTAATCGTTGTACATCATTAAGGATTGAACAATTACGGTTTAAATTTTAGATTCAGTGAAGCACAACAGACATTATATATATATATATATATATATATATATATATATATATGTATGTATGTTTGTTTACGTGTATTCACTATTCATGATTCAGTCCTCCCTCCATTTCTCTTACTGGCCATTGAGATTAAGGTTGCATATAGTACACTATATGCTTCAAAACAAAGTGATATTACTACTAATTAGCACTCCAAACAACATTGATCATCACTAAGGAATCAACTATTAATGCTTACATTTTAGTTCATTGAAGCATAACAGACATTTTACATATCTGTATATACATATGTTTATGTGTGTAAATATACATATATACACATACATATTAAACATCAAATTCCACTGGAAGAGTAGTTATTCTTTTATATCCAGATTTAATTCGTGCATAAATTCCTTACACACCAAGTGAACAGCTCTCTCTCTCTATATATATATATATATAAATTCCATTTATATCTCAGGAAATTATCCTAGAATATGTATCTTAAACAAAAATTATTTAATCCACAACAATTAGTATATGAACAAAAATGTACACAAGTGTAAAAACATGATCAACAATAACAAACACATTTTGGATTAAAAAAAATCACAAAATTTCAAGTTAATCCAATGCATTAGAGAAGTTCTCTATGTCACATTAAATCAAAATTAAAATATAAAATCATAAAAAAAAAAAATATATATATATATATATATATATATAACATTTTTCAGGATAAATCAAAAAAGTAGATTCAGAATGAAGATCTCATCAATCTACATGTTTATAGAATTGAAGTGAAAGAGCGAAAATAAATGATGAAGCATTGATCGAAATCGCACCTGGTGCTAGCAAAATCGTAGAGCTTGCCGGTGCTGGAGAAGATGATGACTCCTACTTCGGCGTCGCACAGAATCGCCAGCTCTCTGGCCTTCTTCAGCAATCCGCTCCTCCGCTTCGAGAATGTCACTTGCCTGCTCGTCGAGTTGTCGATCCTCCTGATCACGATCTTCCCTCTCCCCATGCTTTTCTGATCTCTAGAGAGAGAAAATTACAAATATATATATATATGTGTGTGTGTGTGTGTCTACATGTATATATACACAGAGAGTGGAGAGAGATATGTATATATATATATATATAAAGAGAGAGAGGGGAAGAGAAATGAGAGAAAATAAAAGAATATCGTCAACAGATGGATAAATATTGGAAGAGCGCCGATAATCGAAGAGAAAAGAAACAAGAAATTAGTACGGAGAAATGTTTGGAGAGAGAGAAAATCGAAGAATTTTCCGAGGAAAAAAAAAACTTACTTAGGCGGAGGTTTATGGTGTAGACTCCTGGCGCAGTGGCTTGACAATCGTCGTTTTGGTCCTTTCTGAATTCACATCATCAGCTATAGAAGGAAAGTGTGTATATATAGAAAGATATATACAGTAGAACAATAGATATATATTTGTTTATATAAAGTAGAAAAAAAGTACATCATTCATTGGTTACATAAAACCAAACCATTGGTTACATAGCTCGAGAACCAATCAGATTTCAAATCTGAGTATTATTTTGTTAGTGTTTGCTGGTAGTGCCGTCAACCGTATGGATCACCGACGCGTGGGGCGTGTAATTTAGATACTATTCTTTTACCTGTTTTGGGAATTTTCGCTTTTCTATAAAATATATAGGTGGAAGGACAATTTTGTCCTTATCGATTTTTATAATAGAAGCATCTAATCAGGCTGAGGATGACGTTTATGTTTGACGCCATGATCCTCTAACTAAATTCACCGTTCCCAAAAAAAATTAATTTTTTTTTTTTTTACAAAACAATTTAATTATTCCATAAATGAAATTTGGATCTGAATTTAATTTGTTTTACCTTGAAAAGCCTAATCAAAATAATTCCATCATTTTTATAAAATTGTTAATTTTATTATTGATTTTTAAATGTTAGTCTTTGGCAAGGTGATGGTCGCAAATAATCTTTAAGATGTTCATTTTTACCTCCGTAATGCCTTGAAACTAGATTAGTAAAAAGACTACGCAAAGTAGCATTTTGTTGTCTTATGTGAAAAAGTAATAATTTATTAAATGTCTTAGTTTATTTTAAAGTAATGTAATTACGATAGTTCTTATTAGTTAATTGAAAGGTTTATTAAATTTTTTATTTGACTTAATTCAATAATTAAATATGATAGGACTCTTTTGATGGCACTATTATTTATTTTAATAAATATTTTTATTATTATTAATTTATAGAATTATTACCTGAGGATGTAAGAGCCAAAGGCTAAACTAGTAAAGTGTTAGTCCTAGTTGCAGACTTGCAGCTTCATTTACTGTTAGTTACATACTCAATTACCCTTAATTTTAGTTGTGAATTATTACCCTGAAAAGGACTAATTTGAATATTTGAGATTTTAACTAAATCGAAGGGTAATTGAGTCATTGACTCGAGGACTTCGTAATCATCAAATCAAAAAGCGTAATTCACTAACTGTGGGAATGGAGCTGATTGTGCTTTCCCTTTTGTTCTAGTTTTAAGGTTTCCAAATAGAGAAGTAGAAGTATGAGGTGGCATGCAAGTCCAAAATTTTGCAGGTCTCATATGACGAATTTGTCCCTCATATATATGACAAGTTGGCACTCTACCCCTACCCACCAAATACACACACAAACACACAGTAAAATATTTTTGTATTTATGTAATTACAAAATATATTTTTTTGATAAGTTATGTAATTACAAAATATTACATGTACTTACCTAATACCTACATTGATTATATTTTATTTTATTTTTGGCAGTCCTAATATTAGAATGCGTGGCAATATGATTATTTCTTAAAATGTAGAGTGGATTATTCTAATGATCATATTAAAAAAATTACATGAAAAATAGATTATTATTGATTCAAAACCTAGTTATTTTTTATTATTATTAATTTATTAAAATGGAGGAATTTGACTATATATATATATATATATATATATATATATATATATATGTTGTTGTGCATCATACTGACTAGGCGCACGGACCCAACATAAGACAATGGGGGCGGATGACCCCAGTAAAATTATAATCTGTCCTCATTGAATATATATATATTTTTTTCATTTTATATTTCAAACGTTGAGAATTTATGAAGATGCCTCTACTAAAATTACAGTTTACACCACTAAATTTTATTTTTTTGCATTTTATACTTCAAATTTTTGAAAATTTATGAAGAAAATTTCATGAAAGATATAAAAATGGACTCACTATATAAGTTTGCACTCGAATATATATGTGTATAAGAATCATAATTATGTAGTTATTTATGGTCAAGCATCAAGCCATCTATCAAATGGCTTCTAGTTCGAAAGTATAACATCCTCATTCTCAACTTCAAAGAGGAAGGGAAGGGGTTCGAGTCCTTACATAAACGAAAATGCTTTTTGTAATATTGAGTGAGTTGGCATGTCGCCACTGATATTTATATATTTATTTTGGCTTGCAAAAACACCATATTATATATATATATATAATTAATTAATACCAATTAAAATACATATATATTCCTTAGTAATATTCAATAATCACATTATTATAATAAAAATATTCAATAATTGCATTATTATACATTAAACAAAAAATTGTGCTATGCTTTGTTGGTTATTGTTATTTTTACAAGAAGATTCGATATATATTGGAAGAAGGGCCAGTAGGATTTCTTAGAAACGATGCCCAATTATCAAAACAAAACTAATTAAAAATAAGAGATAAAGGACCAGTTAAATAATTCTATCTACAGTACTTTTCACAAAGCATATTGCCCTTTCCTAACAATGTTGTAATCTTTTCTAGGTCCCAAACAAAGTTATTTCACCATCGCCTTAGTAAATTAATTAGTTTTTAATTTCATATTAAGATGTCCCATATAGTTAAGAGGGTTTCTGGGCACCCAGAATAAAAGGGGCGGGCTTGACAGAACCTCAACGTGACAATTATCTCCTCTTGAAATTGAGAACATCACAATCACCGTTTGTAGAGATTAGGGATTAATTGTAATATTATCAGGATTAGCTCTAATATTATCAAATATTACCAGGACTAACTCTAATATTATTGATTAAGACTCATTTGTTAATAGCGACGGAACCAGGATGTAGGGGGGGGGGGGGGGGTTAAGTAATTTTAGGGGGGGCAAATGTAATATTTCATGGGTACATTATTCAAAATGAACAAATTATTAGGATAAATTACTAAATAAAAAAAAATATCAGTGGGGGCAATTGCCCCCAGCCTTCAATGTAGATCCGTCACTGTTCGTAAATATTGTTTACCTTACACTCTCCATCCTTATGCACGTGTGAGGCATCCCTTCATGAGTACGGTGGCTCAATACAATATGAGACCTTAGGCAAAAATAAAATAAAATGGCCTTTTAATTAAATCTATTCATATATTTATGTCAGTTAATTATTTGTTTAGTGATTTTTAAACCTATCACTAAAATTTTTCCAAACTCTAGTTCCGTTGTTAATTAATTGGCTATGTGCTTTTTAATAGTCATATTTAACAATATAAATAAAAATTATAAACAAAATATATAATTTTATGATAACAAAAATTAGTAGAACTATAAACTAATTTAAGTTATAGAATAATAAAAATTGATTTCGAATAATTTGGTCTAATGCTCCAACAAATTCTTTAATAGAATATAAGTATATTCAAAATTTTCTTCTGAAGTGAGATTGTAAATTGTAAATGTGGAGAAGATTAAAAAAAAAAAAAAAAAAAAAAAAAAAAAAAAAAAAAATTATAATGAGAGATGAGAAAAAATATGTGAGGAATAAAAAATTAAAAAAAAAAATATTCCACCAATTTTCACTTAAATATATATTTAATATTTAATTTTAATGTGTGTGTTTATATGCTAATGTAATGAGGATGAAAAAAAAAAAAAAAAAAGGGATAGAAATATTTTGCCGCACAATTAAATTTTGTATTTGTTGAGGTTTAATAATATAAGAAAATAAAATATTTAGGTAAGTTATAATGTATAAAGAAAAAAAAAATTTTAGGGCCCTCAAAAAAAATAAAGAATAGATATATTTTAGGTCAACTATCAAATTTCTCTATACGTTGAAGTTTAATAATTAAAAAAATACTATAATTGTTTTAGGAAAGTTATAAAATATACCGAAATAAAAAAATTATATGACCTTCTTATTGGCTGAGCTTCAGGTAACCGCCTAACTCGTTTAAGGCTCGAGCTGACCCTGGTACTAGTAATTTTTCCCTTGGTAGGCTTGGAAGTCACAATGACACTTGATTTTCAATATACTCCCAAGAGAATATATGTATGTATGTATATATATATATATATATATATATATATATAGATTTTTTTCTTCAATAAGTAAACATGAGTAGTTTATATAGTATGATCTAGTGATTCATTGAACCTAGAGTGATTGTGAATAAGCCACCTTGCTTACCTTATACTAGGTTTAGTCAGAGGATGAAAAATGTAAAAATGGGAAGGAAGGAGAGATTGAAGTATGGATGATGTATTTTTTTTTTTAAATAGGGACGGTGTGACACCCCTTTCTGTTCAATTTTAGGGAGACAAAAAAACATAGGTTAAGAGACGTCCAATTTTTAAGTTCAGTTGCAGCAAACCGCATACTCACTCCCAGAATCTTGCAAAAAAGCCATTAAGATGGAAAGGATGTACAATGTGACACCCCTTTCTGTTGAATTTCAGGCGGACGAAAAAACATAGGTTAAGAGATGTCCAATTTTTAAGTTCATGCAGTTGCAGCAAACCACATACTCAATCCCAGAATCTTGCCAAAAAGCCATTAAGATTGAACACGATTGCACCACGAACAACCTATCTTCATTGAAGAAAATTTTTCTAGTTGATCTTGAATAATCACAATGAAGTTCCTTCCGTTTAACTCAATCACTTGGTAAACCTTAAAGTCTCCATTTACCGAAGAAAAAAAAATTTCTAAAGTTTCTAACATCTTTCTTTTATAGTTATATAAGGACAAGACTTGCCTATTCACCGATGAGTAGGTCATC